AGAAGACAATTTCACATATCACTGGTGGCAAACCCACACGGAAGACATGTCTCACACCAACATGGTTAGAGAGCTGGGAGCGTGATGATACTATGCTGCTTTGGCTGTTATTTGTGCTGCTGCATCAGTTGTCTTTGCCTATAGCTGCTACAAACAATTGTGACAAAGCTTTGAATAGGAATCAATTCTTTTATATATCTTGTAATTGCCCCTCCACAACAAGAATTTAGAGGGAAATGCATTAACACTGAGATTCTTAATGGTGCTTGAAGTGGGAAAAGGTTTGTACAAAATTGGTAAGCAAATGTGTAAGAAATGTTAGCCAGGGGAATCAAGCGACCATCTTTGAGTTTCAGCTGTGTTTTCTGGAAGCTTGACAGCTGAACTACTAGAGGTTTGAATCTGTGCATATATTAGCAGCTTAAAGTTGGATGTAGTGGAGATTGTAGACTTTGCTTCAATTTGCTTTCGGGAATTCTGGTTTGTACTATATGTCAGTTGGAATAACGATAAGTATGCCCCACCAAAGGGAGAAGAAAAAAAAAGAATGAAATCTAAAATCTCATTCAAACTTTTTCTCTTCCTTTTCTTTCTAATTGGGTCATGTTTCTAATTATTCTTACTGTTGAAGAGTGAATCCCTGTAAAGCTACCCCATTTAGTTGTAAGGACAAAGTCTGGTATATTAGTATATTCATATGCAGGCATTAGAGCTGTTGAAGGGTCTCAGAGAGCCGTTTATATGTATTGCTGGAAGATTTTAGTATTAATGTTTCTGGTGCTGAATGGATTGATGGGGTTCACTCAATCAATTTTATTTTGCTCTCTATTACTCTTAATTGCTGAATTTTCTTCTTAAAATATAAAGGATTAGTTATGAGTTATGGTCAAGCTGCAGTTTTTCATGCTCGATTCGGTCTTGTCTATTATCTCTATTTCTGTTTCTGTTACAGCGGGAGGCTAGAAATGTGGAGGGGGATAGGAAGAAAGCTTGTGCAGATCTTGAATGACAAAAACTAGGATTGTCAATAGACAACCAGCAAGTCCTCTAAATTCTTATTCTGTTTCCTTTCCCTTTTCTTATTCCTTTGTTTCTTCTCTTATATTTCAATATTCTTCAGTGTCTTCCATACCTAGATTTTCTATTGCTTTTACATCAATGTCTAGAAATCATGGCAATTTGGTATGAGAGACCTTCCTTCTTGATTAAATACTCATTTTTATTATCACAGTGGCCAAAAGAAAGGAAGATCAATAAATACAAATCAACGTCAGTTATAGCAGTTAAGACTATTTGGTCTGTAATGGCAAGAAGAAAACTCAATGATTTTATGAAGGAGATCAGTGGTTCACGTCAAAAGAAACTAATACTAAATCCTTCTCCAAAAACTGAGAATCTAATATTTTACCTTAAAATTCAATTCATTTCACACAACAAATCTCTTGTCGTAAGCCCAAATGTTTTTCACATTTGCGCTTTCTATGTAGAAACAGATACTTCTCTAGTCACCAGTCAAAACTAAGTAAGTCACAATGTTCGAGTGAACTCCTTAGAGAGGAGGAAAAAGGTAAAGGGTAAGGAAGAAATAGTTAAATTTATTAAAGGATTAAGGAACTGAAGGCTAGGAAGAAAATGAGAAGTATGAGCTTAATATTATGCCTTCCAAGTTGATAAATGCTTGGGTTATATTTCAGACTTCTATGAATTGTCTTCAAAATGCAATTGTAAGAAGTTTATTTGAGTATTTTACAATATATTGGTGTATAGTTCAATGTAGTTAAGACGTTCCAGAACTCAACCTTGAGAAGATGATCGACTTGAAGGGAGGGAGATTTTAAGTGCTAAGTGGGATTAGCTCAGAAAAAAAGAAGGCAAATTAACTGATTACAGCATAAAGCTGGGAGAACATGCTAATTTCACTATTACAAGCAACTAAAGTTGTAAAACCCTGCACTTGATTCTCATGCTTCAATGCTTCCTCAGTAATTAGAGGAAAATATACTCCAACCCACGGCTGCAATGTCAAGTTAGACGAACATTAGCTCTCCTACAAGACATGCATCGAGCGGATACAATCAAATGCTATTATATTTGATAATTGAAGTACAAAAGGTACTCTTATCTATGAGAAATTCCTAGATATCAGCCATCAAAAAGCATTGAGCTTTGTTGGTAATATTCGGGCCAAGGATGTGTAGTCGATATTCTTTAATTCTACTCGTTGACTTTAAGGCCATTTATCGAGTGAGAAAGCCTATTTTGTTTCCCTATCCTATGGAACTCAGCCTCTATGGTCTTTGCAATTTTAGCATCTTGAGGGTCTGGCCCGGGAAAATCCACGTGGACTGATCCGTGCCTTATTGGTATTGTGGTTTCAAATTCCATAGCTTGCTGCTTGACATAATTGTAGAGCTCTTGATGGAAGGAATGGTCCAAAGAGAAACAATTATCAATAGTTCCATTACTCGCATTTCGACCTGATCCAGATCCTTCTTTTCTACAGAAATGCGGAAGAGATTCATAATCCATGATCTGCACGAAAGTTGAAAATTAAATGTCAAATTCTAATGAGCAAGCTCCAGAACTAATCTCAGGAAAGGTGGACGTGATTGGCATGGTTACACAAGGTGATATTTCTAACAAACCAATCTGGCTAACCTTCAAAAGTTCATCCCTCCCACAACCCTGCAGCACCTGCACTTTCCTCTTTGTCCTTTCTTGCAAAAGAGGTTTCACAACCTGCCAATTAGGAACTATATTACAATCTAATGATGCTGCAAAGGAAGTATTAAAATTTATTTTTGAACATCAGACAACTATTACCAACCTTCCAACATGCTGAAAATATGTACGGTACATTGACAATGTAATATGTATCCGTCTTCTCTGGGTAATTCAAGTCATCAATTGTAGAAATTGCAGTCAATAACTGCATCACCAGAACAAGTAGCATATAAGAATTGCATAGGTTCCAAAGGAAAACCTTAAATAAAAAGGAGAGAACTTTTCTGCCCATGAAATGGAAGATCTAAAGAGCATTCATTGAAAAATTAGTGGACACTAGTAGAAAAAAATCTAGACTATTAATAGGTTAAGGGATAGATTTGACCCAATTCTGTTAAAAGTTTGATCTGATATGAAATAGCTCAATCTATCACTCATACATCATTAACATCCTATATCATACACAAGTCTGCAAGGCTAAATGCGGGCTCACCTTATCTTGTGCTGAAGTGACGGCCAAGATTTGAACCATAAATCCTTAACTTCGATACTATGTTAAATAATATACTTGAGTCTTTTCTTTAAAAATATAAGTTTATATGAAGGGTTTGATGTACTATTTATATATTAAAACAAAAAAGGTGATGCAAGATAACCACTTCAACCTCATATTCCAACACACCAATAGCTTGTGGTGGGACAAAACGGCCAGAATTTATAAACTGAAGGGAAGAATTCCAAAGATAAATTTTTGAAACTTGTTTGTGCGAAGTTACTTGCTTTCCATTTTATCCTCCCTTACTTTCAGGAACTTTCGTGAAATTACCAAACAACTTGGTTTCTATTAGCATTATAGGTATCTCATGGCAGATAAACCTTAAATGGAAGCTTGAAAGCCCAATTCGTATATCATAATACCCTTCATCAAAAAAAAATTATCTTTTGATACAATGGTGACAAAGAATTGAGAAGAATGGTGACAGAATTTTATCAAGCAAAAGGGATATCTTTAGAAGAACGAAAACATCATATGGAGTGACAAGGAAAATGAGAGATACCTTAATGTTATTCAATGCTGAAAGCCTTAAGCCAGTCATATCCAAAACCTTCAAACAAGTGCTAATAGGCCGTCCATATTTTCTTGTTGCAGAAGGCTACAACAAAAATTATATTTCAGGCTACCTGAAAATTACGTCGCAAAGAATATTGATCTCAATTCTGCCGCGTTAGTACTTACCAATATTACACGATCTCTATATTCATTCATTTGAATGTGAGATTGTATATAGTAATGGACCTATAAAAGGGAAGAGCTATCGTAAATATTGACTGTATTTAGCTTTCACGTGTGAGAATAGAGCATACCATTTAAATTCGAAAAAAAGAAATTGAAGGAGATTAAACAAATAATAGACTTACAGATGCTTTGTCATATGTACTAAGCCCAACACCACAAGCAATGACAGGAAGACCCTATTGATTCATTTGAAGATGAGGGGAGAAAGGAGCAAAGATGCAACTAGTGACCATCATTATGAATAAATCTCGGAGTATCTTTTACAAGAAAGAAACGGAAAACAACCCAATGCCAGATTGCTAGGGCAAAAACCAAGAACAAATACTTGTAGAAATAGGTTTACCTCTTTTGAGTAACCAGACAATCCTATGAGCTGAGAATCTCGCACTGCTGTATAGAGATCAGTGGGGATGATTGGTTTCTGCATATACAGTAAAGTTCATCAGATAAACAATAATAAACCACTCTGCATGATAAAAAAGTTCCAGATTGGATATGCAACTAAAATGAATAAAATTGTAACTCCAATTATTGAAATTGAGAATATCAAATTCTTAGTATTGCCCAGTAGTACTGCATAGAAAAGTGTGCTTAGAAATGAGACAAGATTATTGACTTGGCACTGCTGGACCAACTTTGGCGGTACATTAACTCTACTCGAAATAAAAATTTATCACCAATCCCTAGTTCCGGAGTTCTTATGAAAGAGTATATACTTTGTGGCTTGTCTTATGCAATGCTTTAACTATCTGAAAGTTTGTGGTGCTCCTGCTTAAAAATGATTTTGAGCGAGACACAATCAACCACATAAAGCAGCAAACATGAAAGTTATCGTTATGTAAAATCAAGATCTTCACACGGAATGCAATTTGTGGAAACTCCCTTGCCAGAGGCTAGGAATGCAAGTTTTTATTTTAGGGAAAAAGTATTCATTAAACAAGGTACCAAGGAGATGTGCCAACTAGAAAAGAAGGTAATATTTAAAAATCATCCACTTAGGTTCCCCAAATCCTCCTTGAAAGAGAGAGGACAACAGTTATCTGAAAACACTACTCTGAAACCACAAACACCTCACTCTTACAGAGGGAAAAGCAACAATCTTGAAAGCTCTAAAATTTTTCTCCTTCCAATTTTCCAAATAACCTACGAGCTACCCTTGGAGATAAGGGAGATAAATATTTCCTTCTTCTTATCACTCAATGTAGCCTGCTAAGCCCAAAGCTCATCCAAAACCGACCTAGCCAGATACCAATGACAAGTTGAGAAAGCCAGGGGCAGTGCTATAATGGGAAAATGAACCCCACAAGTGCAAACGATCTGGGGGTCCTGCTGCCCTCTACCAGAAAGAGATAGATAATTTACCTTTTTGCATCGTCACAAAGGTGCAGGTCCAACTAAATGTAAAAAAAACTGAATGTAAAATTTTACAGTAGAAAATGAAAAATTATAATAATTCTGAAACCCCAACTCATGCAGATACATCAAAGAAGAAGCTCAAGGTACAATCAACTACAAAATGATATTTTAGTAAATCGTAGAAACAAAAAACAAAAAACTCACCGCTAGTATATTATCAATCTCATTTTGTATCCTCCATTGTAAACAGTCAACCAACTGAAAGATCCAGAGTTAAATAAAACATAACCAAGTGACTATTTAGGACTTAAATAATTTATATTAGGATAAATGGATCTACCATTTTATGGGCTTTCTGGACATTCCACTCCCTTGCTTTTAGAAACCGCACCAAAGTTGCCACTACATTCCCATGGTGCATGTTCTGGAGATCATTGCACAAACAAACTTGGGATTAGTCATCTCCAAGTTACAACCTTAAGAACACATACAACTTTGAACCCAAAAAGAATATAATATCTCAAGCCAGAACAAGTCATGGAAACAATTCTTTGGCGCAAATATCTCGAGCCATAACAAGTCATGGAAACAATTCTTTGGCGCAACAGAACAAAAAAGCATTAATGTAGAAAGAAAGAAAATAACAGAAATTTAAAATGGGGTTAACTAGTAGAGACCATAATTGGAAAACCAGAATCCAGACTATTCAAAATGACTCCCCCATGTGCGCAACATATATTCCACAGCTCAAGATGCTTTCATGCCGCCGTTAACTTGTTATTTTTCCAGAACTTGAGAACTTAAAAAACAATCATTATATTCCTTGCATTAGTTCAAATTCTCATTCATTTCCTAGTAAATTCCTAGTCAAATGAACTAAACGCTGGCTTTCATCTGACACCAAAATTTTGAAAGCTGCATGCCCCTCCTTTGAATGACATACCACAGAAAAGAATTCTTTTACATTCATGATTTGAGTTAAACCAAGGAACTAAATGCAGTACTTTCCAGACGCGGTCTACATTGTATTGAGATCCAAATAGAAGAATGAATCCAAGAATCAAACGTTTCTGCAACAACCATTAACGACATAGCGACAAATCAAGGACCGTTTCATTTAATCAATTATGTGAACGTTCCCCAAAAAAATTGTGTGAAAAAAGACTGACAAATAAGAAAGAATTCTTTCAACAACCACCGTACAAGTTCTTAACAACACGAGTCACAGACCCTCAACTACATAAGCATGCAATAAACACTGATCATAGACCCAGATCGAGAAAGAAAAAAAACTATAAAACTAAACACCCAATCGCAGAAAGAAGGTCATAATACACTCAGATCAAGTCCACAGAGGAGTTCGAGTGCTGTGTTGTTCAAGTCAAATTTTAGAAAGTTAAGAATACCCAAAATGAGCTGAATCATCTTCATTAATATCAGCTCAGTAGAAAATCAATAAAACAAATTTCCAAGACGGGATACTTCTTCTCTCTCAAAAATAAAACAGATCAAAATAAACTTCAAGATGAACTCACCTGAAATGTCTCTTTCAGTGGCTCATCAACTGCAAAACTCAAAGATAAATTGAATCAGCAAATAAAAGAAGATTCTTCAGTGATGGTAGATCAAAAAAGAACATCAAAGAAATGCCCAAGTCGAAAATTTGAAGCTCACCATCTTCCATCAAAAACTGTAATTGCTTGATTGCTTCTTGATTAACAGTACCCATTAATCTCTTTGCTCTTTCCTCTAAGAAATGGGAATGGAAAAGAAAACAAAAACTATAAATAGCTCAAAAAAGCTTGCATCAAAGGGATTTCCTTTTGAGTTTTTCCTATGCTGTCTTCTACCTCTTACTAGTTCCTAATTTGTAAGATTTGAAATTAATTTTGTTAATTAAAAGCAAGAGGGAAATAGTTTTCCTTTTTTTAATTCAGACACAGAGAGAGACAAAGAGATCTGTCTTGACCTGCTTCTGTTTGTTTGGTAATCTTACCATCTCAATCTTGTAAAATTAAAAAAAAAAAAATGGTAAATTTGATTATTTAACTTATTTAATTTAATTATCTTATTACCAATTTTCATTTATATATTTTACTTTTTTAAATCAGATTTACATATCTATTTAATATGTCAAGTTATCAACCACCTAATAATTATGATATATACTCATAATTTAAATTTGAATGTACCATTTATATCTAACCATTTTCTCTCTGTAAAATAATAATTTTTATTTTTTATAATTTGATTATGTTACTTTCCATTTTGATTGTAAATGGCTGATTCACAATTAAAAACAAAATTTTAATATATTTTAACATTCAAATAATTAAAAATTAATAGTGAAATTAAAGATAACCTACAAAAAAAATAAGAAATCATTTTTTAAAAATATAAAAATATTTTTAATTAAAGGTCCATGAAAAAAGGTCATGTATTTTTAGTAATTTTTTTCCACTGAAA